TATATATATATATATATATATATATTTGTGTGTATGTATATATATATATCGATAAACTCGTTACTCGCTGTTAGCATGGACACTGGTGGCTCGACAGTTTTGCCAATAACCTTCGTGTGTGTAGTTCCTTGTTACCGGAGGCTCTGCCCCGGTACCAGACGTTTCGCCACGCAACGTTTTTAATCCTACGATTACAACGACGCTCTCGATACTCTTTCGGCGAACGACGAAACGTATACACTCGGTAGTTTTCGTGGAAAGTTTCACGGTAGTGCCGAGGTAAATTACGTTCAGACGAGTAAATTAAATTTTTTATTCTATTGGAATATCTTTCGCGTCACGTAGCTAGTTCATTTGCGTGCATTTAATTGCAGTTAATTTTCATGTCATGCCCAGTTCAACGTAGAACGTTGCTTCAACCCTTAGATATCGTAAATTGTTTGCGAAATTGCTCTCAATTTTCGTTCGTCTCTGTTTCACATTTCTTGTCTCCCGTATCAACGTGTTTCTCAGCAAATTGCATTATACGGCACAGCTTGTGCTCTCGCTTTGACCAAGCTTTTTGTTGCAATTCTCGTCACGGTTCCAGGTGTTCGCAATTCTTTGAAAAACGTCGAACATTCCCGTAACGTTTGTTCGTAACTCTAGTTTGAATTTGACGCTGTACGTATTACGGTTTGTTTGTTTAGCCCGAACGAATATCAAGCACGCCGATAATCAGCTCGTAAGTGTCGTTTGAACAGGCCCTCGTATAAAAGTGTCGACGTCCACAAAGGATGAAAGAATATTTCAAAGTAAAATACCACCGTCGAAATGGCTATATGCGAGAGCTTTGGCACGAAGCCCCGCGCACAAATGCGGAACATAAATCGCCGATCATACATATTTAAATAATAGTTTTCCTATTCCGCGCGATATCCGCGCCCGTCATTTCCCCCGAAAATGAGACGATTCGTCGCCGGATTTTCGCAGAACGCAAGCCAAACTTTCGTCGAGACGGGGCAAACAGAGGAACGAAAATCACGGGCACAAACCACGTCGGATTGCAATTGCGTTCGATGCCTGATATCCAGCAGGAACAGTCGTGTCGAGGATTTCTTATCGTCCAACACGCAACGAGCTCTCACCACCCTGAACTCCAGTTCCCCTGTCGTTTCCTTGGCCGAGGTCAAGACTCGCCCTCGAAATTGTCCCCGCTCCTGCAGCAGGATTACCGAGGCTAAGAAACGGCTGGACAGGTTCTCTTCTCAACCAGGTGTCTGCTCAACGAACAGCAGATCCACATCCTGCTACGAAGAATTCCGACATCGCGGAGATACGACTGAGAACGAATTAATGGACAGGCGACAGGTTGATTTGTTGATATCAAGCGTAGAACTGAGCATCTATTTAGACGATGTACCTACTATTGATGATCATTTGCGAGTGTAATTCAATTTGCTAAATGCTACAGAAAAAAATCAGAAAATTTAAAATTAATTTCAAAATATTTGATAAAGTCTGATAATTGATAAAAAAAACAACGATACTGTGTTACGTCGATCGTTTTACATTTAACAGGCGGCGAGTCTGAAATCCAATGTTCCCACAAAAGCAAGAAATTAATCCCTAATAATATTTAACGTTTCGTTTAACGTGAACTGACTGCCAGTATAATGAAAATCAGACTAATTAGCTGGTATTTTTACTCGTGAAAAGAAGGATTTGACTTTGTATAATCTACATGAAATTTCTTATTGAAATAGGAGAAATGTCGCGAATTTACAATCTGCGGGTTGCACAGCATGGCATCCAGTGACAATACTTGCGAGACTGACTCACAATCAGATCAATTGGATACTTTCTCTATGACCGTGACAAGTTGTCTGAAGAAGCTGGACAAATCGTGCGCGCTGAAGGCGCAGGCAAAGATTCAACAAATCTTGAAGAACATGCTGATGAAATCGAAGGTAATAAACCAGAAACATCGATCGATACGAGACGAAGTATTGGCTGCGTTTTGGAAAACGTTCTCGCTCCGATTTGGCTGAAATTCCGAAAATGGGTTCCTTCCAGATTGAAACGAGAATTATTTACGAGAAGGATTCTTCGGCGATTCAAGATTTTGCGAAGAAAGTTTTAGAAAATATTTTCAATACTACATACGTTGTCTTACAACAGTCATTACGAATTTTATATATAATAATTAATTTTCTAACTCGTTTTATAAATATTTTATAAATAATTGTGCATATCGAAAATATCGTCTCAATTTTTAAATGATCGAATATCCTTCTCATAGACACTAACACCTGCAACCTGCTTTCAAAATTTCAATCAAATCGAACATTTCGAAAATCCGGCCAGAGCATTTAAAAATCAATCTATTCCCTAGAAATCTATTTCGCCGAAACGAACTCCCCCGCGCAAATCATCCTACGATCTGCGATAAAACACACTCTCGAAGATCCGGAGGGAAGGTAAATTTACAATCTAAATATTTGAACAGCTATCTGGAGTTAAAAATACCAGGCGCATTGTTTCAGCATCCGTCCGGCTTACGAAGTGTATCCAAGAAATCCGACGGTTTGATCGGCGAAGCATCGCCACTTACTTTCAATTCGTGCATAGTAGGCAACTCTCATAAATATTACTGCAAAAAAAGAAAAAAAAAAAACGAAAGAAAGAAAGAAGGGAAAAAAAGGTCCCGACCAGTGTATGAGTAGCTCGCGAGTAGCATGAATATCTAACGACAAAAAGCTACAATCGGAGACTGAATTTCGTCGTATATCACGGGTCTAGCTGAGCACTGGGGATGGTATCGATCCGACTTCGGTAGACCGCAGCGTTACGATTAGTATTCAGCCGGTGTCGCAGTCGGCCGGTCGGACAAGGACAAGGATGGCAAGATTTGCTCCGGCAAAACGGAGGATGCGTGCCACGCAGCCTCTGCCTCTGATAACGGGTTACCCTTTGATCGAGGTATCTCACTCTCACTCTCACTCTCTCTCTCTTTCAAAGAAAATAAAAAAAGTCCACGTTCCTCCGTCGTTATTGCCGCATACTCGAAAACGAGAACAGCCTCGAACGAGAACGCGTTAATCCTCAAAGCGTGTCTCCTCTCGATTAAAGGATCATCGAAGATTGTATCGGATCTCATTCTGGCTACGAATCCACCCCGCTTCGCTTCGAGATCAATTACTCGACTCGAAAAAGAGTGTTCATCGTTGCTCGACTTCGTCAGGATTCTAAGAAACGCAACTTCGAAGAGGGAGATCGATGAAGTTTCAACCCTCGCGAGCGAAAAGGTTGATATTTCTCGCCGGTGGAAATTCTCGCCGTCCCGGTGAATCGAGCTATTTGCCTCGTGAAAGAAGAAGAAACAAAAGAAAACAAGTCGGAGAACGACGTGGTAATAAATTCCGAGAGCTGGGAGGATTAAGCTCCGCCGGAAACTGTTTTACGCGCCGCGGGGCAACAGGAACAAGAGGAGGAAAGCTGCGGATCTGCGGTTAGTCTGCTAGGCGGCCGGGAGAGCCTAGAACGAACTAGGGTTACCACGTTTAGACCAATTCGCAAAATCCCCTTGATACTCGATGAAACGCGGGATTCGAGCTCAGGTCAAAAGAGATTGAGAACCTCCCGCCGAGACGATTAAACAACAGCTCGGCCCCAGACGTTGAACATCTACCCGCCTGGTCGCCGTTCGCGCGTTCCGTGCGAGATCACAGAAATCAACGTGGAAAAATCGAGTCAGCCTGCGAAACAATTAACGTAGAACGTGTCTAATTCGATGGAAAGTGCGGTACGCCGCGAGGCAAACACACGCTGAAATTGTTTTCGAACGAACAAAGAGCGCGCCCCGGCTTCGTCGAACCCTATCGATACTCGACTTTTTGCGAACCAGCAGCCGCAACTGGAAATATAATTTTTTCCATGGCAGGGACATCAAAGCGAATTCCGTCGGTCGCCAATCGAGAAGCACGAGAAGAGCTAAGCGAACGAACGAGAGAGAGAGAGAGAAAGCTAAACGAGGGACGAGGTTAGCAAGGTTAGCAAGGTTAGCACAGAGGAGCATGTAGTCAGAGGCGATTGGTAAGTGGCGTTTCCGGGCGAGAGCGGCCTAATGCAGTCCCATTAGGTTCGGCTTTGACCGGTATAACGCGCATTAACCGTATTCACGGGCTCTTATTACTTACTGTGATCGAGCTCGTCGTGCTCCACGAGGTAGCCGCTCGCGTTGTAGATGTGATGGTCGGGTTTAGCGGTGCTGGTAACCGCAGCACCACCCGTTACTGTCGTGGACGGATTAGTCGGAATTGCTGTGCTAGCGCTAATCGCGGCTACGACCACGCTAGGCGGCGACGAGGATGATATCGTTGATACAAGATTCATCGTGCCCGTCGAGTTCTCGACCTTCGTCGCGTTCAGCTCGCTCGTCATTGTCCTGTCCAATGTCCCGTCTCTACGTTTGCATATCCACCTCTGTCGGAAATTCACGACTCCGAGAGAGGGAGAGAGAGAGGAAGAGCGTAACCGCGGCGCGGTTATTACTCCAAGTTTGTCGAGCGACTAGCTGCGCGCAGAGTCATCGATTCGATCGGTCGGTCGACGCTGGACACGCTGGATCCAACGTTCAATTTGCAATTACTATTCAATTTAGACTTAAGCTGGCCCGATCGGATCGGTTTGCCGGGCGACAACCTTCTTGAGAGAGTTCAGGATGCAAACGACGACCACGGATCGAGTCGACAGATCGGAAATCCAGTTGCACGCCGCACGAAAACCGAAGAACCACCGGCCGCTTTGCATCTCTTCCCTTGCAGCAGATCGGTGAAATCCGAAACACGCAAGCGATCCGAACTCGCAATTAGCCAATTCGGCCAACCCCCCGAGCCAACCACGCGAGCTCCTTAAAGACGGCCGGTTAATTGGATTCACCGAGTGTCCTAACAACCAATTAACCGATCGTTACTCGCGCGTCACCGCGCGTACAAACAACCCGAACCACGACACGGGATTTCTCTGTGGCACGATCGACCGACACACGTCCGGCTGCAATCGTATCGAGAACGTTCCTGGTCCTTGCCTGGAGAAACTATCAGTCACCGATTATTGGTGCCACCGGTTATAGACAGTTAGACGCTAGACAGTTCGTAACTTCTACTCGGCCTATCTCTCACCCCTGGCCGGATTTCACAAGTGGATTAAACCCGACCAAACAAAGAAATCCAACTCAGAAAAGAGGATGAGAAACTTGTTTGGCCCCTTGTGTCTATAACGCCGCTCCTTCTCTCCCTCCCTCCCTCTCTCTCTCACTCTCTCTCTCTCTCTCTCTCTCTCTTTGTAGCCACCAGACGAGCCCGTTCCTCGGTTCAATTTCGCCGGTGTGGAGGACGATTCCGTTGGTATTTGTTGGCGAGCAACCGAGTGTCGTTCATTCTCGCTCTGCCTTCCTCCCGAGAGAACCGCCTTCTGCAACAGAAAAAAGAAACAAGTCCTTGCAGTGGATTGCCCGTGTAATTTCATTTCCTGCCTGGGAATTCATCGACCGTTGTTAGATTACTCCCGTAGCAGTTGGAGAGAAGGGATAGTGTGTTAAGGTTTCGAAGGAATACTGTAGAATCCACGTCGCTCGCGACTCTGCTTGCGATTTACGGTGCGGTGCGCGTCTCAGCCGCCGGCGACTGGTTCGGTCATTACCGTCGTTAAATGCGCCAACACTTGGGAGGTATCTTTTTCAAGGTCATTTCACGTCGGTTCATCATCGCCAGTACCGCCGCGTCGCCATCGTCCTCTTGCTTTTATCGCCCGTAAAGCACACTGTTTCTAGCTGTTCTACGTCATTACCAACCCCATTTTACCAAACCGTGTTTTCTTCTTTTCATCATGTCCGTTGCATCATGTAACGAATGCTCGAGTGACGCTGTCTACAGTTGGAGGAAACGTTACGCTCAAAACCCGTCAACGACAACTGTATCGTCGGTGGAAACGACTTTTCCTTTCGTTGGAATGGAGAATAATTTTGATACTAATTTGGGAATTGAGAAGACACACGCTGGCTGAGGACAGTATTTGAACACTTGTCGTGGAAAATATGGATGCAAATTTAAATCAATCAGAAGTTGCAAAATATTTACCGTATTCAATAACGAATGAATGCATACAACGTGTAATTGGTACAAAACAATTTTGGCTTATTAACTCACGGTTATATCGTGCAACATCATCAATACATTACCGTTGCATGTATTATTTATAAGAGTCATTAATTACGAGATTTTAAATTGGAGTGAATAGCTGCAATTGATTAATAATTCTTTGCTCTTGTTAGCAATGTAATGAATAATTGACTGTTTAAATAGTTTTACGATCTTTATGAAACACGTTTATATGCGTGTGCTTGCATTAAATATTATGCAACTTCGGTGTAAATTTCCAAACTTTAATTCAGCATTAATTGGAGACAGTAAAGTCTCGTGGAATAAAATCCCAATGAAATTGCGAAATGTTTTACGTAGCATACAACTGTTCGAGTACTTTCGTGCGCTTGCACGGTTCAAAAAACATTTGTCGAATTTTGAAGTTTTCCCCCTATGCCGCTCGCATGAAATAAATTTCTCGAATGAGATTCCGTAATAGGAAGCACGAGACTACCCACATTCCACGCCCACGTTCGCATTTGAAGTCCGTCGATAAATTCTGGTGCTTCCGGCAGGCTTCATCTCGTCCTATTCACCCTCTCGAATTTGTCTTTGTCCCTGTGAACGTGTCTTTCAGCCTCCTACAAAGCTTTTCCCCTAACCCTTTCGACTCTTTGTCTTTTCCTCTCTCATTTCTCTCGTAAGCCCTAAGCGCGCGCGCGCGCACACACACATATATCCACGACACGTTTCAAATCATAGAGCGAATCGTGCGAGAAATGCTAGACGAGACCTGATTTAGTCATTTTCACGGGGGCCAAAGCCATCGTCCGCGTAGTTGACGCTGATTAGTAACGGATCTAGTTCAGATTCGCAGCAGCGAAGCCTGGATAGACAATTTCCAAATATACCGCGTTCCTCGGGTCACAATAGCAGTTTCCAGCGGAAACGTGCTCGATAATTAAACTTGGCTGATAGTTAGCGCGACATTGTTCCGCTAACAGTTTTCCGGGCGTGCAGTAATTATTCATAAGCGTAAGTTCGTAATGAACGTATGCACGCGCATTCCCAGCCATGCTTGAAATTTGGCCACCCGTAGCCAACCTCGGCGACCCTCTGGTGTTTTACTAAATTTCAGCACACCTTCCCCGGCGTTTCCGTTTCGCGCGACCCTCGCGAAAATTTCGACGAGAACTCGATATTGTAGTTTTTCCTCGAGAAAGCGAGACAGAGGATGCTGGACTTTCTTCAA